TGCTATTGTAGGATCATACCTGCCGGGAATAAACATAAAATTTCAATGCGATTTTCTGGACAAAGGATTTTTTATATTGGTAACCCGATGCGAGACCAATACAACAAGTAAGTCGACCTCTCCAAGAAACACGCAGACGAGTAGAGACAAGACAAAGTCGCAACTGCGTTCGGTAAAAACGTATAGGGGAACAAAACATCACAGTTCACAATAAAAAAAAGTAGACTTCAAATTGGAATTCAGCGGCGTGTCCAAAATAAAAAACCAAAAGACTAGTTTAGGCCTTGTAGGGCAATGGAGCATATGCTGGCTTGTAAGCTGCTGGCTTGCGGTAAGATGGCTCTGGCTTGTATGGCTCTGGTGCATAGGCAGGCTCAGCCTTGTAGGCGGGCTTGTTGTAGGACTGCTCGGGCTGGTAGGGAGCAGGTGCGTAGGCGGGCTTTTGGTAGCTAGCCTCAGCCTTGTAGGGGGCAGGTGCGTAGGCGGGCTTTTGGTAGCTGGCCTCAGCCTTGTAGGGGGCTGGGGCATAAGATGACTTCTTGTAGGCATCGTCGTATTTGGCCTCTCCTGAGTAGGTGACCTCAGCCACGTAACCAGAGTCTCCATTGACGTAGTATTTCACAGTCTGGGTCCTGCCGTCGGGCAACGCGACGGAGTAGGAGCCGTCGGTGTTGTAGCCGTCGCGGCTCTCTGACTGGGCGAAGTTGTTGTAGGTGTAGTCGTCCTTCACGGCCCAGTCGAAGTTGTACTTCGGCGGCTGCAGAAAAAATAAAACGAAATTCAGGCTACTCATGAACTCGCTTCTCCGAAAAGCTCAACTAAAAAGCTTCAAACCTTGAAAGTCATGCAACAAAAAACTAAAAATCTGGGTTTAAAATCGACTGTTCGTCATTCTGCGACTCTACCTTTGACATTGTCAAGAATTCCTCAGCGAATTCACTCGTTTATGGATTTATATTCCTAAATGCTAATGCGTCACATATTTTTCTAGATAAACTGTTAGTATAGCTTCTCTGAGGAGCCATTTCCGAAATCATCGCTAAATCGGATCTGCTGGTGGTGAATTGTGAAATCGGTCCAATTTTTTTCGAATTCACCTCGAGCTTGTCAAGGTTTTCCCTCTGAAAAAAAAATGTGAAACCGCACAAGTTGTATTGCATAACTTCGCAAGAAAAATACGTTGAAGTTTCCCAGCATAGAATGAGTACATATTTCGAAAGCACCTTCTCTGATCGATGAAGTGGAAAGTGATTAAATAGTCATCAAAAATCACTCTATTCAAATTTGAGATCTGTTCTGATTACTTCTGAAGATCATCGAAGATATCTGTGACTTCTGGAGCCTGAAGAAAAGCTGGTATTTACTCGCAAACGAAAAACACGAGAATATTGTTAAGGGTGTTCAACATCTATTGTAAATTCACGATTAGATCGAAGTAAATATTTAAATAATGAAAACAAAAATCAACCCAGACAGCTCTAAAAGTTGAAGGGTTCGTTATCATCATATCTGACTGATTTATTTTTTGTCACTATAGGTCTCACAATTGTAGCCAGATTTGCGACAGTCTTCGCCAAGGCTCAGTTTAAGAGATTTTGGATGATTGGACGAAAATCTGTTGGATGGTTAAGAAATATCATTGTTTCAGGCGTCTCTGTTATCTAATGAAATATTTTCTCCAATTTCAGACCTGGTCTTCAAATTTTGGCTCAGCAATTGAAATTTCAGGAAAACCTCAACATTCGGCATTGAAAAGTGAAATATGTAACGCCGAACTCAAAAGGCTTTTTTGCTCTAAGATTGGGAACGGATTTGAAGCATTATTTTACGATTCGAAATATTCTTTAGCTTCTGGATGGAAAAAAGCTTCAGCAAAAATGCTTCAGATTTCCTACTTACTTTTTTATGCAATGTTTTCGACTGAATGAAGTATAGAATATACTTTGTATAGGGGGAATACAAATCCGTGTTCATGAATTCACATGCGTAAAATACGGAACACAATCTTCCGCCTCGATCCCCTCGTATGTAAAACATTATCCGTGAAACCTAAATTTAGTGGAATACAAATAATAAAAAAAATGAACTCACGTCATCATAGGAAGCCTCTTCGTATTCCGGTTTGTATGCTGGCTTGTAGCCGTCATCAGCCACACAAGCAGCAGCCAGAGCAATAATAGCGATAACCTTTGAACAATTTATTCAAAATTTAAAATTGACAACAAGCACGCAACTCAAACTGTTTTTAATCGAAACTTGAGCATTGCAAAATACATAAAAGAATGAAAAAAATATTCGCAATCCCCTCACTATTATTCATGGGATTACTTTTTAAATATATATATTTTTTATGGTTCCCTGAGGTCTTTTTTTGTTCTGCAATCTGGAAGCTTTAATGTACTTTACCGATTCTAAGCGTTGAATAAATCTGGTTTAGACACAACTTACCTTGAACATATTTGCTAGAACACTTGATGGTAGTTGTACCGTGAAAATACGAAAGGATTTTTTTCTGCAGAGAGAATATGGTTCACTGGTGGATGGTTGAATAAATACTGATGCTTGTGTCAGTACTCGGCACGGGCTTTATATAGCGAGCAAACTCGGTTGTGACCTCGGATCAGGTCAGTCTATTTTTCTTTTTGGGCGGGGCCGAACCCGCCGGGACGTGATATGGTTACGTTTTTTTTAAAAACTTCAACTTTTTTTTTTGCCGATGTCGGCTAACGAACTTAGTTTCGCAAGACTTAAGTATTCCATTTCCATTGATGTAAATCTTTTTTTTTTAAACGGAAAACTGAACATTTTCATCGCAGTGTTGAGCATTTCGAGTTTCTTTTAAATATAATGATGCTTGTAGACGGTTTTGCAATGCTCGATTACTCTTTCTCCAGCAAAAAAGAATCACTGATTAAAGTTCGAAGAAATTTTTTTCATCATAATAATTTCTTTAATGTTTGTTCTTTCGAAAATGTCGCTGATTACTGAAGCAGTATAATCAATGAATTCGCTGATTCTTTCTCAAGAGATTGGCTTCAATCAAAGTGCATTTTATGTGCAGGCCAATACTTTTTTTCGTCCCACGGTTTTTGAGGGAATATTGTTCTCATTCTACTTTACCAGCGAAAATGAAATGCAGTAGTGGCTTATGTAACAAAGCCATTTCTATACAAACAAATGCGCAACCTATTAATTGAGAAGCCTATAAAATACACTTGAAGCCTATAAGAAACTAACCTCAGCTTATCCTATGGAAATCCCGTTATGTTGATTTTTAAGTAAGGATTAAGGAAACTTATGCTGGCTCCTTGTATTTAATATTTCTATTGTACATACTATTATTTTAGTAATTAGCCTGCTACATCTTCAAACCTATATCAAATTTCGGCTCTTTCAAGGTATTTGATGGCAAGGAAATTTTTGCTCGTGACAAGATGTTGCCGTGATATCGAATATTTTGGATAGTCGGCAGTTATTTCCCCGTTTCACAAAAAAGGATTATCATTCATTTTTGCATCACATATGGAAACTATATCCAAAAATGATAAAATAAATAAATTTTGCACATGACCCATTTGCGACGTTCAAGAATGAACATTTAGTATTTTGAGCGGGAGCCATGGATGTGAGAGTCTTGAATGTAAATTCCTCCCTTTCAAAATTCCTATTCTTCAAAAAAACGATCATCAAAGACTTGAATAGACAGGAAAATTCTTAAGTAGGGAAATTCGAACATACTTTTTACTCACGAATCCATCACTCCCCCCAAAAAAATAAGAATAATACATCTCTCGCACAATATTAACCCAATAATGATGGTTGGTATACAGTATATAATTGCAGTTATTGTGGCCTACAGTGCAAAAATGATCTGACCAAATTTCACCAAAACAGCAGCTGAGCAGAATTACTCTGAAGTCCCGAACTTTTTGTTAAACCAATTATTGAGAAACATTGCTATTGTCCAACAAAGCCCCAACGTTTATTGTGAAGGGGAGGTTGAAAATGATCAAGGTATGAGAAATGTCTATTTTGCTCTCCCATAAATTTTTCGAATGGAAGGAAAAACGAATAGAAAAATTTTAAGACTCGGGTTATATTCATAACGGTATTTTGTTTTTTTGGCGCTGCCTAATGAGAATATGATGCGAAAATCTTGGCTCAGTCTCAGAAGCGATGAAGATTTAATAGAAATCAGTTAGTGTGTGTGGGTTGAGCCATGCTTTTAAAGATTCTCGTGGTAATTTTAGGGTAGGTGACCGAACGAAATCTCATAATTTTCCTGTCTCCACCATGATTAATTTTTGGAGAAATTCCAAAGAAATGCCTCCAGGAATTTGCCCTTCTATGCACCGCAAAATATGTGCAGTATGTCATGCTCAATTTGATTCCCAAGAGATTCATGTTAAGCAGTTATCTTCTTGGTGTGGGTTTGGCATACGGGTCCTCAGGAATTGTGTAGAACGGCATCCAGGTTCTTTCAAAGGTATCCTCATACCAAAACCTCCACAAAAATTGACGAAAAATTTATTTTGTATGGATTCCGCGGTAGGATATTTTCCAAAAAGGAATCAGAAAATTTGGACGAATAAATGGAAAATTTTGAAATATGAGTACAGAAAATTGCTCTCGACGGTCTTGAGTTACAGTTGTCGCATACCTGCAGCATTGATGACCTTCGTTGAATCAAAATACGTGGATAAATCACAGGAGGGCAAGGAACACGGACTGAAAACTTGGAACGATTTTGTGGAAGAGACTGCTCAAAAGCAAGTATCATGCTGATTTGCAAGCTGTTATTCGAAAAACTGGATTTCAATTACAGTAAATAATGTTACCGGTTCCTTATCTTCGGCACGTCACACCAGATAGTGCAGCAATAAAAACGCTCAAAAAAACTGAATGAGGACGGATTTTTTATTCTGGTGATCAAATATGATTCCAAAACAATAAATAAATCACCTTTTAGCAGAAAAAGATGTCAAATAACGAAAAAAACTGAACACTTGATCGAAGAAATTCGATGGAAGAAAAAATCACAATTTGAAAGAGAATTTGTCTAGCAATTGAAAAATGCGTATCCTAAAACACCAAGACTTGCTCAGGCCTTGTATGGCGCAGGGGCATAAGCAGGTTTGTACGCGGGTTTGTAGGCTGGCTTGTTGTAGGATGGCTCGGCCTTGTAGGGCGCAGGTGCATAAGCTGGCTCAGCCTTGTAGGCGGGCTTGTTGTAGGACGGCTCGGGCTTGTAGGCAGGGGCAGGTGCGTAGGCGGGCTTCTGGTAGCTGGCCTCAGCCTTGTAGGGTGCTGGGGCATAAGATGGCTTCTTGTAGGCATCGTCGTATTTGGCCTCTCCTGAGTAGGTGACCTCAGCCACGTAGCCAGAGTCTCCATTGACGTAGTATTTCACAGTCTGGATCCTGCCGTCGGGCAATGCCACAAAGTAGGAGCCGTCGGTGTTGTAGCCGTCGCGGCTCTCTTTCTGGCCGAAGTTGTTGTAGGTGTAGTCGTCCTTCACGGCCCAGTCGAAGTTGTACTTCGGCTGGTAAGGTAAAGCAAAGAATTACAGAAACTCTCTGAATGTTCTTGCCTCCAAATTCGTCTCGCAAACAGATACCTTATTTTTTCGAATGCTTCCATGAACTGATTTTGTAGAAAGCATAAATTATTACTTTGCAATTGTTGGAATAAATTAACAGGTCATGCTGTCATGGCATTTCAACTGAAATTCAGCAAAAATAAATGAAACGTTTTCTCATCGTGTCAGTATCATGATCTAAAAGAATCGCCAACTAAACTCGACTTAAATTAAATTTCATGCGAGATTACACCCAATCTGATCTCAACATTGAACAAGGGTCGAAACATTTAATAATTTTAATCACACGCAAAAACCATGCATAATTTGTGAACTGCAAGCATGGAAAATTCGGCCACCTTCATTTCATTATAATTTGAATTGCATAGTTTCACGTCTGTCACGTCTGTGCATGTGAAGCCCAGACGTGACTCAGAATTCTGTATGTAAGACTCACGTCGTTGTAGGAAGCTTCCTTGTATGCTGGTTTGTATGCGTCATCTGCGAAGCAGATGGCAGCCAAAGCAAGAACAGCGACAATCTTGAAGAAATATACATGATAAGCTCAGGAAGAATAAGTTGAGCAAATTAATATTCAAAAAATCATAACCGCGTATGGAAAAAAGGGGGAATGCAGTTAGTTCAACATCGACTTTTTTCCGATTGATACTGTGTTTTAACAACGAGGAAAACGCACTAAATTTTTCATTTCTACGAAAAAAGGCTACGCATATTGAAATCACGATGACGACTTGAAAATATTTGTATTTCAACCACAGTTTCATGAATGGAGTATTCCTGAATAAAAACCAAATTCTCATTTGATGACACCATCTCCAGCAGCAGTCGAAGTTATTTGAAGAGGCAAACTCACCTTGAACATATTTGATAGGAAACTGAACTGAGCCGTTTCGGAAAGGAACGAAGTGAGTTCGTTTGTCGGAATGTGTAGTTCACTATGTGACGAGTCGACAAATACTGATGCTCGTGTCTGGACGTGGTCCTGGTTTTATATGGGACAGCCTGGAAAAAAAGCTTGGCGGTGACCTCGGATCGGGCCAGGTACTTTTCTTGGGCGGAGTCGGGCCCGCCGGGAATCAACTTGCATGGTACCGTTTTGCTGATGAGCAACACTTGCTGATAATATCAATTGTAAATTGCCGGTAGTTTTTGGAAAATCAATCCTGCCGTAATGTTAGTTTCGTGTTTCCAATTTTCCAGTTGCAAGTGTATTACTGCTTTTTTCTTAATGACTCTCACTGAGCACGAAACGCCACATTTCCAGAGAGTTGTCAAATTTTAGGAGCAGTAGCGGATATTGGCACAGGAAATAAATCATCCATATGCAGTATTTAGCTGCTGCTGCCCAAATAAGCGAGAATATATTCCAATATAATTACCTTGACTGCTTATTGGAGGTTCTGAAGGGAATATTTCGAAAAGGAGAAAAAATTGTCCGTTTTGGAACGTTTTTATGTTCATAACGAAAATGAACAGCACGCGCTTTGATTTTCTCGAATCATTGCTCAGAATGAAATGTGTTTTGTTCTTCTGTTATTTCCTGCCATAAAAGCTATTTTTAAAGCGTTATATAAATTCCGATGGTTCTGCTTTCCGCATTCCACCAAATTTGCCACGGACATTTTTGAGACATTTTTAGCTCCATGAAACGCATGTTTTTTAAATGAAGGTCTTCAATGAAACTGTCTTCAAAAATAAAGTTTTTCGGGGAATTTTTTTTCTGTACACCTCCGCATTGTTATAAAGTCACAAGTGTTTTTTCGGCCAATGGTCATGAAAATATTCTTAACCTTTTCCCGAGGCCTTATCTTTGCTGGCATTTAAAGGTGAGATTATCATCGTGAAATCAATCCCGGGATCCATCACACATCTCGTGTGAAGTCTAGCTGTGTTCAATATGCCTTTAAATATCACACCACTTATAATTTTTCATCACAAGTGACATGCTTTTTTTTTAAATTCGGCGCGACATTGCGCTTTTGGCGCTCATTGGGGGAACATATTTTTCAATTTTGAATTCGTTACGTGGTTCATTTTATATTGGCAACCTCAGCAACCTGTGCATTTCTTTTTTTTTTCTTCTTTGGTGTATTTTGGAAATTCTTGCGGTAATGTGTCCTCGAAAGAACTGGAACTGCAGTATTCACAAATCGGTTGGTGTAGAACTTTCTGCCGCAGGGCTGCTGATACGTATTAAAGAGAGATTATATAACATATTTTTAGCATGCTAAAAATGTTATATAATCTCTCTTTAATTTGTACTCACATTTGTACTGAAATGTGATTCAATCAAATGATTTAATAAAAAAATGTATATAAGAGAGGTGGCTGAAATGCATGTCTTCTGATGCATTCAATGTGAGAAAAAGTATTCAAATTTATTCTCGTCTTCAAAAAATAATTATTATGAGAATATAATTTTTTTTAGGGAGAAAAGGATTGATTTTTGCAAAGGAAACAGGTGGAAGCTCATTTCACCTGTGTCCTTTCCTAAAGGGAATACCAATGAAAACACGTAACACTGCCCAATTTTTTTTATCACGCGGGCTTTTATTTATTTTTCAATCTGAGATAGTCGAAGAACAAATCGTTCACCCCTAAAATTTCGAAGTTATTGAGCTTTTCCGGCGTTTTAAAGGTTACGAAGTTCATGTAGAAATAACAGCTCACGCAATGCTTTTTGACATCATTCGAGATGGTGTTTCCAAACTTTTGGGCGCATATACAATATACAGTAATACAGACAGATCTTTCAAAATCCGTTAGAATTTTTGAGCATTCTTCGATTACGAAGCTTGACGTAGAGCAGTTATTTTTTGTATGCTCATATTGATACAAATCAATTGGTGTTAGGCCTGAAAATATCTTAGAATGACATTCTTTAGAGAGATCAGATGTTCTAAATGAATCAGAAGTGGAATTCAAACATTAATTTTATAAATTGACGTTCTTGCTAACCTGTGTTCTTTGAAGACAATTGTGATTCAAGCGTACTTTTCACAAGATATCAGTGCCAGCTTTAGAAAAGTCAAGAAAATGAGAGTAAATAATTCGTAAGATCCATATTACAAGGGATGAAGTAAAAGTGTATAAAAGGTTGAAAACCGATAAAGGATGGTCTTTAGCAAAGAATGTAGACCCCTAGTTTGCAGCTTGAGATAAAAATTAACTCAGCTTCTAATAAAATAGAAACATTTAAAAGGAGCTGACGTAAAATGCTCCTTCGAATAATTTATTTCGGAAAGAATCTGACTGCTGACATTTCGTCGGAAATTATCAGAAAATGGGGAAGATTCTCAACGTTTAGAATGAAAAAAAAAATGCGCACTGACATATTGAACTGACTTCAACGGTAAGCATTTCAAGACTTCCATTGAAACAAAAGATGATCGCTTCACCATTGCAGTGTAACAGCCACGGCCGGAAAAGTGGAATTTTTGAAAAGTTGGCTGCTAACAGCAATTCTTGAACCAGTTCTCGTAAAATACGGTAAGAAGATGTGTATTTTATTTATATAAATGTTCCCAGTCACTTACAAGGAACTTGAGCGGGTATTTCTCTCGAATTATTGCGAAAAAAGCGCACAGAACAGATCGTTGAAATATACAGTATTTTCATTGTGGTAACCCCAACTACAAATTGACACGAAATCAATAAATAAATCACCCAGCTGAAGATAAAAATATGTGAAATTAAAAAGAACTGAACACTTCGTACGAAGCGAAGAAAAAAATGGAGAAAACAATTCCAGATGAAACATCGCTATGAACTGGAAGTATGCGTGTCCTAATAAAAGTCCAAGACTTGCTCAAGCCTTGTATTAAGCTGAAGCATAAACAGGTTATGTACGTATAATCAAAGATGAACTGGATTTCAATGGCACTAATATCACCCGTTCCATCGAAGATGCGTTTGAACAAATAATTTAAAAGTGTTAGTGCAGCAATAAAAACGCACAAAACAACTCAATGAGGACGGATTTTTTATTCTGGTAATCGGATGTGATACCAAAACAATAAATAAATCACCTTCTTGCAGAAAAAATTTGTCAAATTACGAAAAAACTGAACACTTGAATGAAGAAATCCGATGGAAGAAAAAATCACAATTTGAAATAGAAATTGTCTAGCAATTGAAAAATGCGTATCCTAAAACACCAAGACTTGCTCAGGCCTTGTATGGCGCAGGGGCATATGCAGGTTTGTACGCGGGTTTGTAGGCTGGCTTGTTGTAGGACAGCTCGGCCTTGTAGGGCGCAGGTGCATAAGCTGGCTCAGCCTTGTAGGCGGGCTTGTTGTAGGATGGCTCGGGCTTGTAGGCAGGGGCAGGTGCATAGGCGGGCTTTTGGTAGCTGGCCTCAGCCTTGTAGGGTGCTGGGGCATAAGATGGCTTCTTGTAGGCATCGTCGTATTTGGCCTCTCCTGAGTAGGTGACCTCAGCCACGTAACCAGAGTCTCCATTGACGTAGTATTTCACAGTCTGGATCCTGCCGTCGGGCAGGGCCACGAAGTAGGAGCCGTCGGTGTTGTAGCCGTCGCGTCTCTCAGTCTGGCCATAGTTGTTGTATGTGTAGTCGTCCTTCACAGCCCAGTCAAAGTTGTACTTCGGCTGCAAAGGGCAAAACAAAAAATTAAAGAACCTCTTTGAAATGTTTGACTTCCATATTTTACTTGTTCGAATTAAGGTTTTTCCAATCGTTGTCACAATTTTTTTTAGAATGTATACATTATCACCGTGCTTCAAAGTTACTTTAACAAAATCATAGCTGCTGCTGACGTCGTATCTTAGCTGAAAGTCTGCAATAATACGTGCAACGCATTTTTAGCCTTCCAATCAAGATCCAAAGGAATCTGCCAGCTAAACGTGACCCAAATTGAATTGCCTACAAGACCACCTTTTCCAAGTGCAAGCTCTAACGAGGTCATATGCATTTTAAAATAAAAGAAAAAGATACACAAAATTCACGGAATAATTTGCGTACCGCATGCATATAAAATTGTAAATTCTTCAAATTCACTATAATTTTAATGGCACGTATGAAATTTATCATGACTCAGGCTACAGCAGAAGTATGTATTATACGTATACAAAAGACTTACGTCGTCGTAAGAAGCCTCCTTGTATGCTGGTTTGTATGCGTCATCTGCGACGCAAATGGCAGCCAACGCCATAATAGCGACAACCTTGAAGAAATATGCATTATAAGCTCACAAAGAAACATTTCAGCAAATTAATCTTCAAACAATTATATCCCCTTTCGGAAAATACGGGAATGCAGTTCAACATGGAATATAATAACCTTTTGTTACTGTATTTCAACAAGCGGGGAAATACACTCAACTTGTATTTCAACAATAACAGCGACAAAAACAACGAACTTTACAATCACAATGGCGATCAAGCAACTTGAAGATATTCTTTTATTATTTTCTCGGAATGTTGTGGATTTTTTTCTGAAATTCCTAATTTTTCTTTCTGCAACATTATTTCCAGCAGTTGAAGTTATTTGAAGAGGCAAACTCACCTTGAACATTTTTGATGGGAAACTGAATAGTTGTTTCGGAAAAGAACGAAGTGAATTCGTTTGTTGGAATGTGTAGTTCACTATGTTACGATTCGACAAATACTGATGCTTGCGTCTGGACGCGGTCCTGGTTTTATATGGGGCAGCTGTAGGAAGAAACTTGGCGGTGACCTCGGATCGGGTCAGGCACTTTTCTTGGGCGGAGTCGGGCCCGCCGGGAAGAAACCGGGCACCGTTTTGCTGATAAAATCAAATTTGAATTGTCAATAGTTCTTAGAAAACCAAGCCTGCCGTAATTTTGGTTTCGTAATTCCAAGTTTCTTTGAGCTGTTCAAAGAGCATCATCCTTTATTTTTGAAAATGATTTTAGCTGTGGAGTAAACGCTGCATTCATTTTTAAAGGAAGATTTGTCAAATTTAGGAGTAGTATCGGATTTTGGAACGGAAAATAAATCATCCGTGCTACAATTAGCTGGTGCGTAAATGAATGAGAATCCTATTCCAAAATATGCGACGAAAATTTCCTGTTACAGGTTTGGAAGGAAGTATTCTGAAAATGAAAGAAATGCACGTTTTGAATTTTTTTGATTTTTCAAACGAAAATAAATAACACGCATGTTGCTTTTCTCTATTGTTCCTAATGCACTGTGTTTTGTTCCTTTGTATTTCCTGGGCAAGAGGCTATTTGAAAGAAGCATGATATAAACTCCGAAGGTTCAGTTTCCGTGGTCCACAAAATTTGTCACGGGTGTTCGTGAGAACTTTTAGTTCCAGTAAACTGCAATTTTTAACTAAGAAAAACCAGCTGAAATTTAAAGTTTTGGTCCAGTATTCTTTCCTGATGTCTCGTAATAGCTATTACCTCCCATGCTTTGTTGGACAGTGGAGTCAGGGCAGAAAACGACGAAGGGTTGAAAACGACATACCGACCGTCAGAAGTTCTGTGGCTGGATCCTCCCTATTAGATTTCCTATAGAACCTTCATTTATTCAGCCCACAAGGGCAAGAGAGCACTGACACAGATGCAGCAATGAAAATAGCTATGCAAAGTCTCAGGACAAAATCCATCCGAACACAGTAAAGAATGGTCACACAAGTCTGAGGGGAAATCCTCATCTTCCTGTAGCACAGGTGAAATCTTCAAGTGAAGTTTCCCTGCAAGTCCCTATGGTCTCTATATTCTCCCCCAAAATCCTGTATCACCACCAGTTTGCAGCATTAATTGTGGCAAACCAGTTGCGCAGCAGAACTTGTGCCTGTACTGTGCCCCAGAGAATCCCTTTCCCCGTGTGGCGACATCTTGCGGGCACCAACAAGTGGTCATGGATTTTTTTTCCATTTTTCCTAGGGGCCCTCTTTGTTGGGTTGAAACCTCAGAGTTTCTTGAAACCAATCCCGGTTCAATTGCACATCTTGTGTGATGTCCAGCACTTTTTAATATCATGACACTTGTCATTTTCGCCATGTGTGACGTACTTTTTTACAATTCAGTGCAAAATTAGGCTGCTGGGTGCACGTCGTGGAAACATAGTACAGTATGTGACGCTTTTTGGCTTATTATACGACGTGGTTGATTCTATTGGTAACCTCAGCAACTATTTATTTATTACTTCCGTTTTTTTTGTGTGGCAATAATTGGTGATGATGTGTCCTCGACAGAGTAACTGGCATATTTCAGTCGTCACAAATCGATTGGTGTAAAACTCTGTGCAGCAGGGCTGCTGACGCATTAAAAGAACAAATGAAACATTTCCAACCTGATAAAATGCTCCATGTCAGAAGTTTCAGCTTATTAAATAGGATTCAAGCAAGTGATTTACTGAAATGAAGTAGAAAATACTTTAAATAGGTTGCTCAATTGAATGCATGCTGCTGTCTTCAATGCGAGAAAAATGTGAAAAAATTCTTTTCGGCTTAAAAAAATACTTATGAGAATTTTATTTTTCTAGGAAGATCAATGCCACCTGTTTCCTTTTCAAAATGAAATACCGAAGAAAAAAATAGCTCTAAGGAACGTTTTTTTTATCAAGCTGGCTTTAATTTTTTCAAAATATGAGATCGTCAAAGAACTAAACTTTTGCCCCTGATTTGAAAGTAACCAAACCCTTCTGGCGTTTAAAGTTTTCTTGCGTTCATGTAAAGATACAGTTCAGGTCATCATTATTTATTTCATTGGGAATGGCGTCTTAAAATGTATTCGCGTGTAAATGCAGACTGCCCCTTCAAAAAATTTAAGTATTTTTCAGAATTTGATTATGAAAATTGAGGCATAGAGCAGCTGTCCATCATATGTCATACTGTACTTAAACAAATCAATTGACGTTAACCATAAACATCTTTCAGAAACACAAGATTTGTGATAACCTTGCACGAAGATGAGGCATAAGCAGGTTTATATTACTGTAGTACAATCAAATGATATAATGGATTTCAATGGCACTAATATCACCAGTTCCATCAAAGCTGCATTGAAAAATAATGAAAAAAGTAAGTGCAGTAATAAAAACGCTGAAAACAACTCAATGTGGACGGATTTTTTATTCTGGCAGTTGGATGTGATTGCAAAACAATAAATAAATCATCTTCTTGCAGAAAAAAGATGCCTAAACTAGGAAAAACTGAACACTTGAATGAAGAAATTCAATGGAAGAAAAAAATCACAATTTCAAATAGAATTTGTCTAGCAATTGAAAAATGCGTATCCTAAAACACCAAGACTTGCTCAGGCCTTGTATGGCGCAGGGGCATATGCAGGTTTGTACGCGGGTTTGTAGGCTGGCTTGTTGTAGGACGGCTCGGCCTTGTAGGGCGCAGGTGCATAAGCTGGCTCAGCCTTGTAGGCGGGCTTGTTGTAGGATGGCTCGGGCTTGTAGGCAGGGGCAGGTGCATAGGCGGGCTTTTGGTAGCTGGCCTCAGCCTTGTAGGGTGCTGGGGCATAAGATGGCTTCTTGTAGGCATCGTCGTATTTGGTCTCTCCTGAGTAGGTGACCTCAGCCACGTAACCAGAGTCTCCATTGACGTAGTATTTCACAGTCTGGATCCTGCCGTCGGGCAGGGCCACAAAGTAGGAGCCGTCGGTGTTGTAGCCGTCGCGTCTCTCAGTCTGGCCATAGTTGTTGTAGGTGTAGTCGTCCTTCACGGCCCAGTCAAAGATGTACTTTGGCTGCAAAGGGCAAAACAAAAAATTAAAGAACCTCTTTGAAATGTTTGCCCTCCATATTTCACTTGTTCAAATTAAGGTTTTTCCAATCCTTGTCAAAATTTTTTTCGAATGCAAAAATTATCACCGTGCTTCAAAGTTATTAAAAAAAATAATAGCTTCTGCTGACGATGTCTCTTAGCTGAAAGTCTGCAAGAACAAGTGCAACGCATTTTTAGCTTTTCAATCATGACCCAAAGGAATCTGCCAACTAAACGTGACCCAAATTGAATTGCCTGCAAGACCACCTAATCCAAGTGCAAGCTCTGACGAGGTCCTATATATTTTCAAATAAAAAAGATACACAAAATTCACGGAATAATTTGCATGCCCGCAAGCATAGAGAATTTGAAATTCTTCAAATTCGCTATAATTTTAATTCATGTATGAAATTTGTCATGACTCAGGCAACAGCAGAAGTATGTATTATATACTCAAGACTTACGTCGTCGTAAGAAGCCTCCTTGTATGCTGGTTTGTATGCGTCATCTGCAACGCAAATGGCAGCCAACGCCAAAACAGCGACAACCTTGAAGAAATATGCATTATAAGCTCACAAAGAAACATTTCAGCAAATTAATATTCAAACAATTATATCCCCTTTCGGAAAATACGGGAATGCAGTTCAACAAGGAATATAATATCCTTTTGTTACTGTATTTCAAAAAGCGGGGAAATACGCACAACTTGTATTTCAACAACAGCAACAAAAACGCCGAACTATACCATCACAATGACGACTTGAAGATATTCATTTAATATTTTCCCGGAATATCGTGGATTTTTTTCTGAAATTCCTAATTTTTCTCTTTGCAATATTCTTTCCAGAATTTGAAGTTATTTGAAGACGCCAACTCACCTTGAACATTTTTGATAGGAAACTGAATTGCCGTTTCGGAAAAGAACGAAGTGAATTCGTTTGTTGGAATGTGTAGTTCACTATGTGACGAGTCGACAAATACTGATGCTGGTGTCTGGACGCGGTCCTGGTTTTATATTGGGCAGCTATAGGAAGAAACTTGGCGGTGACCTCGGATCGGGTCAGGCACTTTTCTTGGGAGGAGTCGGGCCCGCCGGGAAGAAACCGGGCACCGTTTTGCTGATAAAATCAAATTTGAATTGTCGATAGTTCTTAGAAAACCAAGCCTGCCGTAATTTTGGTTTCGTAATTCCAAATTTCTTTGAGCTGTTCAAAGAGCATCATCCTTTATTTTTTTTAAATGATTTTAGCTGTGGAGTAAACGCTGCATTCATTTTTAAAGGAAGATTTGTCAAATTTAGGAGCAGTATCGGATTTTGGAGCGGAAAATAAATCATCCGTGCTACAATTAGCTGGTGCGTAAATTTTTGGTTTCGTAATTCCAAGTTTCTTTGAGCTGTTCAAAGAGCATCATCCTTTATTTTTGAAAATGATTTTAGCTGTGGAGTAAACGCTGCATTCATTTTTAAAGGAAGATTTGTCAAATTTAGGAGTAGTATCGGATTTTGGAACGGAAAATAAATCATCCGTGCTACAATTAGCTGGTGCGTAAATGAATGAGAATCCTATTCCAAAATATGCGACGAAAATTTCCTGTTACAGGTTTGGAAGGAAGTATTCCGAAAATGAAAGAAATGCACGTTTTGAATTTTTTTGATTTTTCAAACGAAAATAAATAACACGCATGTTGCTTTTCTCTATTGTTCCTAATGCAATGTGTTTTGTTCCTTTGTATTTCCTGGGCAAGAGGCTATTTGAAAGAAGCATGATATAAACTCCGAAGGTTCAGTTTCCGTGGTCCACAAAATTTGTCATGGGTGTTCCAGGAAACTGCAATTTTTAACTAAGAAAAACCAGCTCAAATTTAAAGTTTTGGACGAGTATTTTTTCCTGATATCTCGTAATAGGTATTACCTCCTACGCTTTGTTTGACAGTGGTGTCAGGGCAGAAAACGACGAAGGGTTGAAAACGACATACCGACCGTCAGAAGTTCTGTGGCTGGATCCTCCCTATTAGATTTCCTATAGAACCTTCATTTATTCAGCCCACAAGGGCAAGAGAGCACAGACACAGATGCAGCAATGAAAATAGCTATGCAAAGTCTCAGGACAAAATCCATCCGAACACAGTAAAGAATGGTCACACAAGTCTGAGGGGAAATCCTCATCTTCCTGTAGCACAGGTGAAATCTTCCAGTGAAGTTTCCCTGCAAGTCCCTATATGGTCTCCATATTCTCTCTCAAAACCCTGTATGACCACCAGTTTGCTGCATTGTGGCAAACCAGTTGCACAGCAGAACTTCTGCCATGCGCACGCCTGCTACCATGTGCCTGTGCTGCGCCCCAGATAATTCCTTTGCCCGTGCGGCGACATCTTGCGAGCACCAACAAGTGGTCATGGACATTTTTTCAATTTTTCCTAGGGGCCCTCTTTGTTGAGTTGAATCCTCAGAGTTTCTTGAAATCAATCCTGGGTCGATCGCACACCTTGTGTGATGTCCAGCTACTGTACATCAAATATGCTTTTAAATATCACGCCACTTGTCATTTTCGCCATGCATGGGTGACGTACTTTTTTACAATTCAGTGCAAAATTATTATGTGACACTTTTTGGCTTATTATACAACACGTTGATTTTATTGGTAACCTCAGCAACTATTTATTTATTACTTCCGTATTTTTTGTGTGCCAATAATTGGTGATTATGTGTCCTCGACAGAACTGGCATATTGCAGTAGTCACAAATCGATTGGTGTAAAACTTCGTGCACTGCTGATGTATTCAAAAGAAAGAATGGCTGCTGAAATTTACAACATGATACAATACTCATGTCAGAATTTTGAGCTTCTTAAATATGATTCAATCTAATGTTTCACTGAAATGAAGTTGAATAGACATTAATAGGTACATTGTTCAAATAAATGCGTGCTGCTGTCTTCAATGCGAGAAAAAATGTAAAATTTATTTTTGGCTTGAAGAAATACTTATTATGAGAATTGTATTTTTCTAGGAAGATCATTTCCACCTGTTTCCTTTTCAAAATTAAATACCAAAGAAAAATATAGCACTGCGGAACATATTTCTTATGAAGACGGATTTAATTTTTTTAAATCTGAGATTTTGAAAGATCTAAACTTTTACCCCTGATTTGAAAGTAACTAAACCCTTCTGGCACTTAAAGTTTTCCTGCATTCATGCAAAGACACAGTTCACGTCATCATTTTTTAAATTATTTGAAATAGTGTCTTACAATATATTTGCCTGTAAATTCAGACTGCCCCTTCCAAAAATTTTGAGCCTTCTTTGATTATGAAGCTTCAGGTATAGAGCAGCTGTCCATTATATACAAATCAATTGACGGTAAAATCCTTCAGAAACGCATTCTTCCAAGATTTCAGAATTTTGCGGATGTATCCGAGGTAAAATTCAGTCATTATTTCTTTAAAATAACGGTATTGCTAACCAGTGTCCTTGAAGAAATTTTGGTCTATATGAGCAAATTTTATAAGCGCTCAGGGTCGTCTGCTTTCGAAAAGTCAACGAACATGAGATCGATAATTCATAGGATATAGTGAAAAAAATACCAAGCAATTGAGAATGATGTGAAAGGTCGAAAGACCGATACATAGGATAATCGTTATTAAGAAATATACACCCTACTTTGCACAGCTTGTTCCCGTTCACCAGTTCCCATGCAGTCAGAAGTTTGCAGAGCTACATTGGAGGTGCAAATTAACTCCGCTTTTAAAAAAATAGAAGCACTCAAAATACATAAAATGCTCCTTCTGATAAATACATTTCGGAAAGCATCCGATGATACGCTCAAAAAAGTTCCATAAAAATGGATTTTTATTTTGGTAACTGAAACTCCCAAGTGATACGAAATCAACAAATAAATTACATTCTTGCAGAGAAAAGGATGAAAATTGTAAATAACCAAACAATGCTAACAAAGTGAGACATTCAGTGAAAACCATTCAAGATGCAATATCGCTATGAACTGAAAACATGCGCATCCTAATAAAGGTTCAAAACTTGCTTGTATGAAGCTGCAACATCAGCAGGATTGTATGTAAAGGCTACATATAAACTGGATTTCAATGGCACTAATATCATCAGTTCAATCCAAGCTGAGCTGTACAAATAATTAAAAAGAGTTAGTGCACCAATAAAAACGCTCAAAACAACTCAATGAGGACGGATTTTTTATTCTAGCAATCGTTCGTGATGCCAAAACAATAAATAAATCATCTTCTTGCAGAAAAAATGTCAAATTGAGAACAAATGAACACTTGAATGAAGAAATTCGATGCAAGAAAATAATCACAATTTGGAAGATAATTCATCTAGCAATTGAAAAATGCGCATCCTACAACCCAAAGATTTGTTCAGGCCTTGTATGGAGCTGGGGCATAAGCAGGCTTGTACGCGGGTTTGTAGGCTGGCTTGTAAGATGACTCTGGCTTGTAGGGCGCAGGGGCATAAGCTGGCTCGGCCTTGTAGGCGGGCTTGTTGTAGGATGGCTCGGGCTTGTAGGCAGGGGCAGGTGCATAAGCAGGCTTTTGGTAGCTGGCCTCAGCCTTGTAGGGTGCTGGGGCATAAGATGGCTTCTTGCTGTAGGCATCGTCGTATTTGGCCTCTCCTGAGTAGGTGACCTCAGCCACGTAGCCAGAGTCTCCATTGACGTAGTATTTCACAGTCTGGATCCTGCCGTCGGGCAAGGCCACAAAGTAGGAGCCATCGGTGTTGTAGCCGTCGCGGCTTTCGGTCTGTCCATAGTTGTTGTAGGTGTAGTCATCCTTCACGGCCCAGTCAAAGTTGTACTTCGGGGGCTGAGGCGAAACAAAATTGTAGAATATTTGAAAAGCGTTTCTCTCGAAAGTCAATCATGAGGTCTCATGCTCACTCTTTTGTTTCCATAAAAAGCTCTAGACGATCCGCTATGGTCATCAGATTTTATTGGTCGAATGAAAAAGTCAACTCCCCTAACATTTCATATAGTCATTTAAGAATTTTCATCAATTTATTTCTAACGATGATATCGCATCATTTCCTATGGAAATTGGGGAAGTGCGGCTCTGCTATCATTTGTACAGTATCTCAAAGTCTGAAATAGTAATGCTATACTTCGCACGTGGCTTATGCTGAAATTTCCGCAAAACTCCTTACTCCAGACTCAAAGCTGATTGAGGGTCTACACGCATGAGACTATAGATGAGCACAATACTGCATAGAACCATAGATTCTTCAACACACAGAAAGTAAAGCTAATTTGTCTATTTTAGGAGCATCATTTTTAAAGTGACACAGATGTCATGATGCAAGCAAGATACATTCTTTTCTGCATTAAAACTCACTTCTTCATAGGAAGCCTCCTTGTACGCTGGTTTGTATGCGTCATTTGCGACACAAACGGCAGCCAATGCAAGAAAGGCGAAAAGCTGGAAGAAAAAAATTATTCCCACGACAATTTAATTAATTAATCTTCTAAAATCAACTTCATGTCTGGAAAAGTTTATCCACTATGAATTTAATGCTAGTGATTCAATGATAAACACCATTTTACTGCTCGCTTTAATGAAATCAAAATACAGCACTGAAGTTTTTATTCCAATGCGAAGAAAATTCGGAGATTACTTGTAAATATTCATTCGCAAATGTATGGATATACTATTTCAGAAAAACCGAATTTGCATTCGATACCGTTATTTCCAGCAGGTGAAGTTATTTCAAGACGTAGACTCACCTTGAACATCTTTGCTAGAAAAGTGAGTACTGAGGCTGTATTGTAAGAAAATGAGGAGAATGCGTTTGTCAGAAGGTAGTTCACTATGTGACGACTCGACAAATACTGATGATTGGTCCTCGACTCGGTCATGGTTTTATATGGGTCAGCGAGAAAGAAACTTGGTGGCGTCCTTGGCTCAGGTCAGGCACTTTTTTGGGCGGAGTCGGGCCCGCCGGGAAGAAGCGGAATACCATTGTGGTGATTAGCAACATGTAATAGGTAAAATTGATTTTAACTTGCCGATATATGCAGAACCAATTCTTTCAACAGGTTTCCCATGCATTTCCATTTGAAGTCTGGATCAGTTTTTCATAAAATAACCTTAGCTGCTCAGAACATGGAGCAATTCCTGGTGGAATTATGTGTGAGTATTTCAAGAAACCAATATATTCTGTTGCTCAACCATTTCCTGAGAGGTATACTTATTAAAAATGTGTGATGGAATTTCGTCTGACTCGGTCTTCCCTTGTCGACCATAATTTGTGAAGTACGTTATTGACGAGAACTTTTCACTTCTGACAAGCTCAATGTTATCCTCAGAACTAAAGTTCCTCCCTATTTGAATTTTCCACTAAAAGGCAAAAAAAGAGCAATCAGAATTATGAAGCAGGAAGTATGAAGACGTTCACAAAGATTCGCATGCACAGAAATAAATATCTGAAGGAGATGGCGAAAAATGAGCATGATTAAACATCAAAGGACTTTGGATAGTCAACAAAATCATAGCGAATGTTACACGCATAACTAGTTGTCCTATTGATGTACAGTGCATCAATTACAGCAGTTGAAAGAACATTCCTTTTGTGTTATCTGCAATCAAGAAGACCAACAATGTTTCTTGAAGGCACTGAATGAGGGAGATACACTAAGAGAGTGCAGCTGTACAAAAATAGGGAACACTTCTAACAGCATATTAAGACAGAAGTTTTTATTTCATGCAATACTGTAAATATTTTAATGTAAACTAAGTTTCAAATCAACAAGCTGAAGTTTTACAAGCTATAAAAACCATAGCATCTTCCACTTCTTTGCATGCATTTTCCATTAGTTTTGAATCTATGAAGCATCAAAAACCTCTCTCATTGTTGTCAACTGTTGCATTCTGTATACCACAAACTGAATAGCATCACCTTGCATTTCAAATATCAGTGAATTTAGACATTTTGCATTCGAATTTTTCTGATTTAATTTTAAAATATATACAATAAAGAAGAATGAATGCCTAATATGTGATGGGACTTGGGGCAAAACACTTTTTAATCAATATGGAAAATGGTATTGCAGTTTGATGCAGCGATGAATGCCATATTTACCCACCAATGGAATCAATAGAAGAGAATCATCTCTTCTTTTGATGATGGAATCAATAGAAGAGAATGGATTGAAGCCTTTGTTTTTTTTTCAGGAATCCATTGTAATCAAGTAGTTTCTACGTGTTATTTTGTGGAGCCATTGTGATTCATATGTATGAATTTCGGAATCACTGAAGTAGCACTGCTTGGTTCTCCCCACAGTAATCTTATTTCTCAACTACAATGCTGTATTTATTGAATAAAATTAAGATTGAAATCCTATAACAGACTGCCTGCAGTTATCAGATACCGGCCAGATTACTT